CTGGCTTTTACATAGATCTGGTAGCCGGCGTATTAAATACTATTGGTTGGCAATGCTCATAAATATATATATCTACGAGCATTAAACTCGGTTTCTTCATGAAATCCATTCTTATCTTTCATATTTCGGAGTTGCCAAACCGGGTTCGAATCCGCGTAATACCACAAAATAAATCCTATACGCATGGATGGTGAGTGGTACTGACTTGCTGGCTTCCCTCTGACCAGTAGTTCAAAATTTGGAATGGCGGCAGATAGCCTTAGTATTTTTGCCATAAATCATAAATGTTATCTTTCTTAACCTAAATATCGCAACTTGCCAATATCTTTTTTTTTTTTTACCACGGGCTTTTAATAGAACAAGGTAATCAACCAATAATTTTACATGCTAAAACGTTTTTTTTTTTATCACTTTTAAATATTTTAATTTTGAAACCATATTTGTATTGGCTAAACCTCAAACACGAGCTCGTAGCTTAAGCAATGATTACTTTTATTAGATTTGCTTATTAACTCTGTTAACCGGTCTCCATTTCTATATTTTACAAAGACTATTGTAGTTCGAAGAAAATTTATCTTAAACATACACGAGAAAAAAAAAAAGTCACCTAGTTTTGGAAGCGTAAGCCCTATTCAAAATTCAAGTCAATATGGCAACTTCATCGAGACTGAACTAAGTTCGAAGCACCTTTCAAAGCCGACAGAATTTGTTCGATAAAACTGATATATTTCATGGAGAAAAAAATATCAAAACATATTTCTACATAATCTTAATTTTCTTCAGTTTTTCACATAATCTTTGTTTAATACTTCGGCAATGTTTGACTCAAAGTTTAATATTAAAGTATTACATCTCTCTACCCTACACTTATAACAATTAGACCCTTCCAGCAGCTGCTGCGAATTTCAGGACGTTCACTTTTGCGCGGGAATGAGATAGGTAGGAACGAAACCCCGCCTAGTTAACTCAAATACACCAATCAAATATCGATACTCTCAACGCTAACTTTCAAGCTCTAAGCAAATACTGTGTGAGCTATACCATGACGTCAGGATTAGTAAGAGCAGTACAGCTAAGGTGCAGATAAAATTTTGAGAGAAGAACAACGGTTGGTCTATGCAGAAAGGAAACGGCTTTGGCGTGAAAGTAGTAGTTAGATTTTATAACATTATTTTTGTACTTTATTAGTGTGTCAGCGTATCATTATCAGATGCCTGCTAGTCTCTTTCCTGAAATGGAGCGTAACAGTTTCGAAGATCAAAGAGCACTGAAGTTAGCTTTAGAACTGTCAATGCTTGGACTGAACAACGAAAGTAATACGATTCATTCCAACGATACAGACCGTACTATTAATAGTAATACCAGAGGCAAAAAAGGCCAGAATACTACGGAGTGTGTCCCTGTTCCTAGTTCAGAACACGTGGCAGAAATTGTTGGTAGACAAGGTGAGTCTATACCTTATTTATTTTTTTATGAATTAGGTAAAAAAAATTGTCAATGTTGTAATTGGAAGCCCTCATTATATTTGACACGAAGGTCTTTGTTCAATACAACTAGCCAGTACTGGTATCATGTTTACCCGGAAGGCATTGCGCGAATCGCGCCATTTCTTTGTGTGAAATTTTGTTACCCTCGTTCTGAAACCACGTGCTCGGTACATTTATCAAGTTTGCAAAACAGTGCAAGTTATAATTTGATAACAGGCATTTGATGTTTAAAACTTGAATTGGTAATTGTGAAATTATATAGAAGAATTAAACTTTTATGATTTTATTTCTCACTTGAATTAAAAATTTTGAGCCCTTCAAGTTCAACTTTTTTTTTAGTTGTGACCGCTCACCTAAATTATTAAATATACTATAGTATTAATAATACTAGGATATACATGTTCTTAATATTATTGGGGGGGGATGTAAAGTTTTAAAGCTTGAACTGTATAAGTGTATTGGTGTTGTTATTTGTAATGTTTTATTACGCTATTTACAGCTGTCACCATTTGATTTTGAACTGCTTTTGTCATGAACTTTGTACTGGTGCTTTATTGACTCTTTTAAGTTTAAGTAATGATGTTTTGGCTAATGTTAATGCTAAGTTAGTCATGTGGTATTAAATTGCAAAAGCTTGCATCAACTCGAAGAATTTTCTAGTATAATATAAGTGAATATTTAGACTGAATTTTATGCATGTATTTTAATGTTAATTGTAGTTGTATTGTGCTAGTCACTACACAGTATTCTTTTTTCAGTATTAATAGTGTTTAACGATTGTGTAACTCCATTTCTATGGTTTGAAGAGGTCATGGTAGACTTAACGCTAACACCACAAGGGAAAAGAGGATTAAGAAATTATATAGTAGAGTTTTCCAAACATTTGGATAATCTTGTTTCTTGCTGTTAACACTAACAGGTTGTAGTGATTGTTACTGTTCAGATAAGTAATTACTTTCGACTTTTAAATAGGATGCAAGATAAAAGCGCTTCGGGCAAAGACTAACACGTACATCAAAACCCCTGTTCGTGGAGAGGAGCCTGTTTTTGTAGTCACAGGGCGAAAAGAAGATGTTTCTGCTGCTAAGAGGGAGATAGTATCGGCAGCTGAACATTTCAGTCAAATCCGAGCCCAACGTAAAAACAACCAGAATGGAGCTTTAGCTCCAGGTCCTAATTCCAACATTCCGGGACAGGCAACGATCCAGGTCAGAGTGCCCTACAGGGTGGTTGGATTGGTGGTGGGGCCTAAGGGTGCTACCATTAAACGCATACAACAACAGACCAACACTTACATTGTGACACCCAGTCGTGACAAGGAACCCGTATTTGAAGTTACCGGACTACCAGAGAATATAGAGAGTGCTCAAAAGGAAATTGAAGCACACATTGTTGTACGCACTGGTGCTATGCTTGACTCTAATGACGAGAATTATTCGAAATCCAATGGATTGGACCAGAGGTACACTGGGAACCTTAACTTAACCAACGGCTTTGTTACATCTATGTTTAAGTCGGATCTTGATGGGTTTGTTTCACATTTACGAGACAACAAAAATTTGCTCACGCAAACCTCTCAAGATAATATTTTCTCATTGTCTTCAAACGGTTCAGTTAAACTCTCAGACTTTTGTCCTTTTACGGGCGGCTTTACCAATGGTTTTGGTTTTTACGACACGGATGAGGGTTTAGGTGACTCTCCAACATTTGACCCAACAGTCATTCCAACACCAACAACTTGGCCGGATGGAAGTTTATATCCCAGCTCTAACTTGTCTCGACGAAGTGAAAGTTATGGTAGTGAAGGCACGGCTTTAATACAAGCCATCACCGATGGTCTTCTCATTGACCATCCTCCAGCTAGACGGATTCAAAGTGATCCCTTGCCCTCTTTCACATCACTACCAAACGTTACGACCAACATGTCTACAAATAGACCATTCGTCAACAGCAGTGGCAGTCTGGCAAGCAGTCCCACCGACTCGCTGGGGTCCATTGGAAAGAACTGTCGGCGAGAATGTATTGTCTGCTTTGAAAGTGATGTGGTGGCTGCTTTGGTTCCTTGTGGTCATAACTTGTTTTGTTTGGAATGTGCAAGTCGGATCTGTGAGAAGTCGGAGGCAGCATGTCCAATATGTCACCAGCACGTGTCCCAGGCAATCCGCATTTACTCTTAAAGTCTGAGAATGTTGTGAATACAGTTCTGGGTAAGCAAGCTTCCTTGCTCAGCCAGTTTTGTAATAGATAACGTCATTTCCTCCATTAAATATTTTGTAGTTTAAAAAATATATTGAACTCTCACACATTATCACGTTTCTCCATTAACTTGTAATGCATAACTATATTAGTATTAATATGAGAATATGTCATTGAGAGCTCTCATTATCTCATAAAAAATAGTAAATATATAATAAAGATTTTATTCTTGATGTAAGATTTTTATTTAAAAGAGGCTAAATACTTATTTGCTAGAAAGTCTTTGGAATAGTTAAATATGTTTTTAAATTGTAAAAAAAAAGTTTGGTTGCCAATTAAATATATATCTAAAAAACAAAGGTGATTTATTTTATTCGAAATTTTATAATGGTTTGTAGTGTGATGTTCTCTAAAAATATGTAGTAACCGTGCTTGGTGTGTATAAGTAAATTTATCTTGCACAAACGTAGGGTAAGTTTTCCTATTTTTATTTTTAATATTTAGCATTTGTATGTTAATATATTTACTGACGGTCCCGTTTACCAATGCCAAGTTGTGTAAACTGTATAAGAGCAAATATTTAGCTGATGAACGTTGTTTTGTATTATTTAAAAAAACATATGCCTTATTTTTCTGATAAAGTTGTATTGCCACAATTATTTTAATGTAGTCTTCCACTTATTTATATGTGGCATCTAACGAAGGCTTTCTTGAGAAAAAAAAAATCCTTTGTTATAGCATTGTGGTTCAGTATTTTGTTAGTTTCTTACTCCAATTTTTGTGATTTATGTAATGTGTATCCAGGGCGCAATATTTTTTTCCTAAAACTGAGAATTGGTCGGAAAGTTACCGGCTTTTTTTAACATGCAACCTGTTTAAGAGTATTTATGTATGAGAAATGTTGACAATAGCCAAAAAAAAGGCAGTCTTTTTGTAGAGCTTGAAAGTATATAATTGCGTGTAAACTTGTGAATGTTTTCAAAAACTGTGTAAATAATTCGAGTTATTAGAATGTAATTAACTTTTAAAAATATCACATTTTCCAAAGCACGAAAGATGGTATTCACTATGCTCACAAAATAAGTGTATGTGTTTCGGTAATACCAAGTGAGGTTGGCTACACGGGTGAAATGTAGTTTTATCGCCTTTGTATCCGGGTCGTATTAAGCTTTTGGGTATTTTGGCCAGTTCGGTACGAAGGTGTTCTGACAATAAAAAAAAAGAGCGTGTTAATGTTTTTTTCACTGTCACTGAATTGACTGCATAGTTCCATGCTAAGATAGTTATATTTTATTATTAAAATTTTGAATGTCTTGAAATAAAAATGTATTTTGAAGTTCAAATAAATACCTCTTGGCGTGTATTCGTGTATCTTTGTTTTTAATTTTCTTTCACATTACAATTGTATAGTAACCTACTAAAAAAGAACCTGGCCATCAGTAAAACTAATTATATTTGCATTTTTTACTTGTTAAAATAATTGTATTGTTTGGATATCTTAGCCGCTTTTAACGCCATTTTCGGCTGGAAGTTGTAGAGTAATTAGGTCAGTTTCTATGGCAGTGAACTTGAACGATATAATATAACCATTCATGGACCTAACAGTTGAACATTATTTATTAGTAAAGACTATAATTTTTAAATAGTAACCGTTAAAGTTGTTATAAATTTTTCTTCTGTATTTTGTTTTACTCAATTTAAATATCCATGTATTTTGTGCGTTGCTATAGAAATGTTATTGCAGTCTAGACCCGTCTCTGGGTTGTCTTAGCTTCGGAGGGGGTTAACGAAATTTCATGGGGGGGGGCCTGCTGGCGCTAATCCTGCTATTGTATTTAATTATAACTAGCTACTTGGAAGCAAGATTAAAACGAACATTTGATGGATAAGGATACTTTATTTTAAAGGATCAGCGAGATTATAACTTTTGTTTTTGACCTTTAGAAATTTTAACCGAGTTAATGAATTGTGTAATAATAATTTCAAAGTTTATACGATGGTCGAGTTGTTTGATGTGGAAATATTTGTTTTAAATAAATAGTAAGCTATTTGAGAAAATGTAAGTAAACCTTTTATTATTGTTCTGAGATATGAAAACGTCATTAGCAAACATTGTTGGCTTAGTCGGGTATAAGATTATATTGTAACCTCCATAATAAAACCGTCTGGAATTTTTTTTGTGTGTGTGTGAGCCGAAGTAAGTGGGGCAGACTCAGGGGTGTTGGTTAGGTGTATAAAGTCACCTTGAACTCCATATTCGTTCAGTCTACTATTTCCACGGTTCAAGTGAAGTGTTTAATTCAATGTGGATTGACAAGTTTTTACGCGCAGCCTCAGTTTTTCGCTAACAAGGTGCGATGACATTAGAAGAATCCCACAAAACAAGTCTGGAATTAGTTACTGACAGAGAAAAGAAAACTGTTACATAATACCGAATGGCATGGTAACCAAGAGAGCTCACGTTTGATTTATAATATAAAGCGTATTTTTGATCATATTGGAAGTTTTCAAAAAAATATATTTAATAAGTTCCGTGCTCAAAATATCAAGACGAATGTATAGAATATAATTTTGACAGTTATAATTTTTCATCCTTTTTTTTCCTGTTCTTTTGTTTTAGGAATTAAGTGTAATTAGTGTAGTAATAAGTTAGTATTACTTTCTACAAAAACTAATGTATATTAATTAAGCAAATTTATGAAACAATTAATCTGACATTTAGCTAAAATTAATTATTTTGTCCAGTGCTGTTTAGAAGTGAAAAGATGAACAAATTGGCTTACATAACCAGTTAAAAATTTTTATAAATAGTACAAATGTATCCTGTCTTCATTAATAAGAATATGATGTTTGGTTAGTCGTTACATTTATGTATTTCGTTTTAACCTTCCTTAAGTTCCTAATTGTTTATCTGTATCTTAAGCCAATATTCCTTGTGTATTTCAAAATCGGTTTGTAATTTTGTTAATAAAAGATGACAGTCACTATATCCGGTCGCGGTATGTTTCTTTTACATGATATTAGCCATCGTTTAGTTTCCAGGAAAAAATTATTTTACTGTTGGTGATTTGGAACAGTTTCTGCGAAATTAACGCAAAAATAGACTAAGTGTAAAACCAAAAGTTATATATATATATATAAAGTATTTCCAAGGTGCGTTTAAATATTAACATTGCTGTGTTTTTAAAATACAGATGTAATAGTACAAAATGATAAACCATGTACGTCTTTGTGCTCATAAAATTCAATCTGATTTTTAAAAATGTGAAATTTTGAACTATTGTTTGAAGATATACAATTATTAGAATAACATATGTAAGAATGCTAATAATTAACTAATTACAAAAATATAGTTTCATCGTGTGAGGTTACAAGTGTTTAAAAACTTTAAACTTTGGCAAGTAGATCACGAACTGAAACAAAAGAGTGTAGGCCATCTTATTTGTAACCTTGAGAATGCCCGCAGTCTCCAAGAGTCTTGCTGTGGGTTACGTGAATTCTTTCGTGCTTAGCCTTTGGCCTCTTTCTATTACAACATTTTCATGAAAGTAATATTAGTCCCTTCCCTTCGGCAGAGTCATTAAGCTACTCAACAACCATAAATTTTTTTGTGATAGTTAGCCCTCGTTGTGTAGCTTCGAGCAACGTTCTCAGACGCGTAGGCGAATATCTGTCTGGCGCGGTAATTTTTTATATATAGATATAGAAAGAAAAATTTGTCTAAAATATTGGTACTTAATGTGAAGATTTTGTATTTGATAATAGGTTTTCACGATTGTCGAAATGTTACATAATTTATCGTAATATAATAAACGTTATTAACAAATTAGTGTCTTTATCACTTCACGAAATACACGATTCATCAAATAACCAAAAGTAGTGTATCTATGTATTCCTTACAATGCATTTAATGAACGTATTTTTATTAGAATACCTGTACATAGCTCGTAAAACATTCTGAATGAATTATATAATTCAATCTTTCAACAAACTTCGTGTAACGAAACAAGGGTAAGTTTGAAATCAGTCATGCGTGAAGTTATACCAGATTGAATTGACACCAGACCGTGAAATAGAGAAACTGTATGAATTCTACTAAAATGACAAAGTTCACGAAAATTTAATATTTAGTACGAATCGTAAAAACAAACCTTTTCTTTGTTACAGAAATATTAAAACTTATTGCACCAAACTGTTCACTATCTTGCTGTACTGGTCACGTGACTTGTTATTTTCTTAATGCTGACGTCATTCATATTTCCATTATTTACTTTCAAACACATATTTTTTTTTAAATGGAAACTGTTCTTTACGCTGACAGTGGAAAAAAAATCAAATTATTTCCTAGGAAAATAATTATATAATTTCAACTAAATGTAGTCAGAGTTCAATAAAAACTAAAAAATAAATGAACGTAACAGTTACAACACTGGGCGTCGGCAATAATTTCTTAATGTAACAATTCACTGGTTTTCAGTGAATTTATAAAAAGAAAAGGAACAGTTTAGTATATTTTGAATTCATGATACAGGGTAGTTAAAACTAACAAAAGAGAAGCGTTGTTTCCCCCCACGTTCAAGCTTTCTGCAGCCGCGTCTCAAGATAATGTGTTACGTAATAATAACAAGGGACTGACTGATTTGAATATGTATATGCTTGTGCACGTGATCATTGTGTTGACAGCAGTGTTTCTTCTAAGCTGCGTTGCTGCACCACAACCAATCAAGTGCCGTGCATACCCTCGGTAATGGTGAGTCTTAACACGTTGACGGCCTTAATAACCCTGGCAGTCGATAGGCCTAAAGCCCAAATAACCAACTGGTAGCATTGCAAAGCGGCCTAATGATCCAATAGGGTCGATGGTCTAAAAATTCATTCCGCACATAAATTGAAAAATTATAGGGAACATTGATGGAAAGTTTGTTTACTTGAGAGCAAAGCCACATTTGGGCTATCTGCTGTTTCCACCACGTGTAGTCAA